CGGTCCCAGAATTTCCCCTCTCCCCTCCAAAGAAGAAGGATCTTTCCCTGGAGGAGATCCAGAAGAAATTAGAAGCTGCAGAAGAAAGACGCAAGGTAAACAGTATAATTCAGAGAAAATAGGATATTTATTAATGCAATAGAGCAAATCAGTTTTATTTTCTCATATAGGAGGAAAAGGGAATTGTAACTCCAAAACCAAACCCACAGCCATTGAGTGGATGCTGACTTATAGGGACATTATAGAGCAGAATAGAACTGCCCCACAGAATTTCCGACCCTTTAAGTTTTTAAGGAAGCAGACTGCTTGCCACTATGTCTTTATGCTATTGAGTGGCTGATGGGTTTGAACCACTGACCTTTCATCCTGGTTTATGACTAAGCATTGTACATACTGATGCTGGAAGAAAATGCCAGCTGTCATTTATTGAGCTCCTATGATATGCCAGTTCCTTTACTTAAAATTTCCTCTCCTAATATTGAAGCCTTACAAGGTAAGTGTTGTCTAAGGAATGGAGATGAGAAAACTGTCTCAGGAGTGAATACTAAGTCTTTTTCCCAAAGTCAGACAGCTTGTTAAGTGTTGGAGCCAAAATTCAAGCCAGGTGTGTCTTAAAACCAAAGCTCGTGTTTTCTCATGCTTTCTTTGTTAAAAAAAACAACAAACAAACAACATTTGGCAGGATTATTTTTTTCTTACGTTTCCTTGTTCCTTCAGTATTTTTCTTTCTTTTTTTTTGAGAGCTGCACAATAAAAACAAAATCATAAATTACTAGTGTTGCGATGGTGGTGCTTACCTGGTGGTGGTGATGATGGTGTGCCAGAGTCCGATCTGACTCACAGTGACCCTGTCTACATAGGGTTATGAAGGCTGTAAACCCTTTACAGGAGCAGAAAGGCTTACCTTCCTCCCACGGCGCCTGGTAGAGTTGAACTGTGGCCCTGGTGGTTAGCAGCCCATTTTGTGATCCACTGTACTACCCGGGCTCTTGGTTGCATTAACTGTTGCTGTTGTAAAGTGCCTTAGAATGGATTCTCACTCATAGTAACCCTTTACAAGGTTTCCGAAGAGTAGCTGGTGGGTTTGAACCACTGCCCTTGTGGTTAGCAGTCCAGTGCTTATCCTATAGCACCACACTAGGGCTCCGTGGTAGTGTTTTCCTCATCAAAGCAATTATAGGTAGCTGTCTTTAAGAACTAAGGAGAAAAATCAATATCAATTTGTGTGTGGTAGAAAAATAGGAATGCAAAAGTTACAAATAGGAAATTAAAAGTATTCATCATGCTGCTTCCCTGGAAATGACCACTGTGAAGATTTTGTATATCGCTTTCTAGTTTAATTCTTGTAATGATTAAGAACTTTACATAAATTATCATTTAGGTCTCCTTCCTGACAACCCTGATTGGGGGCGGGTTTAATTTTAAAGATGAGGAAAACTGAAGGTAGAAAAAGGTGAAGTACTGGCCTGCCTGAAACCATGCAACCAGTGCGATTTGAATTGAAATCTAGTACGTTTAAATGGGCTCTCACATACACAAAACAGATAGAACCAGTTGCCGTTGAGACTCCTGGCATCCCCATGTGTATTGGTAGAACTGAGCTCTATGATAAGTGTCTTCTAAGTTCCAGAGGTACAGCTCCAGGTTTTCCTTCCTTCCTAAGGTAGACCCAGACATCCAACCCTTTTGTTAGCAGCCAAGCTTAAGAACTGTTTGCACTGCCCAAGGAGTCCATACACATATACACGCTCCTGTTTAAACTACTGTAGCAAGTGTTGTGTACCTTTTTCAGTGTTACGTGTATGGGCACTGACCCACCCTCCACACTGTAAACCATTCCCCAGTTAGAGAGGTAAGCACATTTGTACCGGCACATTGTCTCCTGCCTGCTCCCATGTAGTTTGAGTTCATAGAATAGGAAGAAGCGATGCAACCAAAGGCTGACAGAGGGAAGTTTTTTAGGAATCAACCCTGACCCTGTGGTCAGTCTGTGCTTTCCATTTGTTGCTAAGTGCTGTCAAGTCGGTTCTGACTCAAAGTGACCCTCATAGGGTTTCCAAGGAGCATGGTGGGTTTGAACCTCCAACCTGCAGTTCACACCAACCTTTTGGTCCAGTGCTTATCCTACAGCACCACACCAGGATGCCATGCTTTACACAGTAACTAGCTAAATGCAAATGGGCCTCAAAAAGTTCGTGGAAAAATTCCTTTGTCTTTTCTTTATATTTTTCCACAACCTTCTTGTATAGTGAAACTCTTAGCATGACTGGAATTTTATGGAAGAGAATGAACAGACCCAATGGCAGTTGTAGCAGATGCTCCATAGTCATCCTGGAAATCAGTGCTTCGAAACATGTCTGAATCTGTTTGGTAACAAGCTATTTTGAGTCTTGAAGGAGGCACACTGATACCAGAACTCCAGTGGGTATCTGGAAAGATGGTACATCTTCCACAGATAAAAGCCTTTCCATGAAACAAATCCCTGACTTAAATAGTAATCTGGTAGCTTAGTCTTCAATTTCCTATCATTCACTTACCTTTTTTTTTTTTTAAGCCAATTACGGTTATTTTTTTCTTATAATGACCTAGTTTTGGGGGCTAGGCTTTGAGATTATGAAACTAAAAAGAAATCTCCATTCCTAAGTACCTGTCATTCAAATCATCTTGATAGCGGTAAGTAGTAAATTAAATCTTGATGGATTTTCTTCAAGTATCTCTGGGCAAGAGATCCCTGTCAAATAGAGGCAGTTTTCCAAAGTTAACACAAACAAGAAAAGAATGATTCTCATAGTTTTTATGATGGGAATGATTCAGAACCTAATGTCAGAATGATTTAATGGGATTTTATTTTCTGCCTCTTTTCAGTCCCCAGTAAATAATTTCTGCTATAGTTTTATCTAATGCTAAGTCCATTCCAGAGAACCTAGCTTCTTACAAACTTTTATTCTAGTCCCATGAAGCTGAGGTCTTGAAGCAGCTTGCTGAGAAACGAGAGCACGAGAAAGAAGTGCTTCAGAAAGCAATAGAAGAGAACAACAACTTCAGTAAAATGGCGGAAGAGAAACTGACCCACAAAATGGAAGCCAATAAAGAGAACCGAGAGGCACAAATGGCTGCCAAACTGGAGCGTTTGCGAGAAAAGGTTGGCATCTCATCCTTGCTTTGTAGAGATATTACGGGTTTAAAGTTTGAGGTGCCAATAGTGTCTTGAACTAATTCTTATCATCAGTTGTGAGACTTAATACATAAAATGAGAGTTACCTTAGTTTGAAATAGAATATTCAATCATTTCTGCTACAATAGCATCTTCCTTGGAAAAGCAGTAGTAAGAAATTTAGTCATTAGGTTACACAAGTGACCCAGGAGGTTCAAAGATGTCTTAGAGCTCTTAATTAATGTGATTCCCAATGGAACGTGACATATATGTACTGAGGCTGTGTTGGGCCTCTTCTGAGGGACTATTATTTGGCAAGCTATTTTCATTTGACTGATAATATTTAACTTACTCTTTGTTTATATAGGACAAGCACGTTGAAGAAGTGCGGAAGAACAAAGAATCCAAAGATCCTGCTGATGAGACTGAAGCCGACTAATTTGTTCTGAGAACTGACTTTCTCCCCTTCCCCTTCCTAAATATCCAAAGACTGTACTGGCCAGTGTCATTTTCTTTTTTTCCCTCCTGACAAATATTCTAGAAGCCGATGTAGGACTGTATAGGTAGATCCAGACTGTATGATGTTGTTTTAGGGGCTAAAGGGGAGAAACAGAGTGTTTTACTCTTTTTCAAAAGTGTTGAAGTCTTTCTAATGTAGCTATTTTTCTTGTTGCATCTTTTCTACTTCAGTACACTTGGTGTACTGGGTTAATGGCTAGTACTGTATTGGCTCTGTGGAAACATGTTTGTGAAGAATATGTAGTGGCTTCTTTTAAAACTTAGATGCTAAAGATCTGTTCACTTTTAAATCCCAGTTCTGTCCCAATTTTACCAGATGCTACTGTACTTGAATGGTTAATAAAACTGCACAGTGCTGTTGGTGACAGCGACTTCTTTCTGATCAGATTGTTACCGAGCTGTGGAGACCCTCCTAGACTGTATTTGTTCTTATGGGGCCTCTGGGCTGGTGGAAATCCCCAGCAGACACATGACTACAAATTCTCTGCCCTGGAGTTTTCTTGCTCCAGAGTTGTCTGCATTGTCTCATTCCACAATCATCACATTGTTTTGATGCCTCAGCCCAGATCAGCTGTTACTATATTCTTTCAGATGTTTACTTGCAAACAAGTATTATTTTGTTCCCTTGTCCCTGTTAAAAAGTAGACTGAAGGCACAAATGGTGTTTCTAGAGAGATAATCTTAAGATCCTACTGACAAATATTTGATTTTTTGGCTTTATCTTACAATTTAAGAGCAGGAGTACATCTAAATACTTTCCTGTCGTAGAAGCTACAACTCAAGAATCAAAATATGATTAATAAAATGTTATGTGCTGCTGGAGCAACTCCTAAAGTGACGAAAAGGAACCTTACTTTCTAGAGTAGCATTTGACTTGGGCAATTAAAGTTGCCAGTTACTTCATTTTGTTTCCAGAGGCTATAATTTTCACCCTTGGTGATCATGGCCAAGACTTAGTTCAGGGAAAGCTTTTGGCAGCTGCATTACAGACCATTGGCTTCTCGGGCCCCTGCATGGAAGCTTTTGGGAACCAAGCCAAGCACCCGGTGGCTGCTGATACTGCAGTGGGATCTGCTCCATGCTGTTCAATGGGTTTGGGTTTTGTGAAACTTAGGATAATATCCTACCTTGTTAGGATTAACTGGGTTTGGGATGTGTGTGTGGAGCGAGAATACACGAGCAATTAGACCAGTGCCAAGTATGTCAAGTACTATCAAGCTGGTTCCAACGCCTAGTGACCCTGTATAGTTTCCCAGGCTGTAAAGCCTCATCTTTCTCCCATGGAGCAGCGGGTGGGCTCTAGCCACCAACCTTGTGGTTCATAGTTCAGTGCTTATCCTACAGAACTACCACCCTAGTATGGAATTGCTTGCGTTGGACATAATTCTTGGAATGACTCCTGAGTTTCCTTAGACTAAGATTATTGATTGTAGTGCTTCTGAAAAAAAGCTGAATTTAGAGGTAATGGCAATGTAGCTCAAACAGAAACAAGAATAAATGTAGTTTTGTATCAACAAAAGGTCCAGGCAATATCAACAAATGAGAAGGAAGCCGCTTGCAGGGACTCAGCAGTATTCTTCCTTGGACCCCTGGTCCCTGGCACTTGATAGATGTTCAAGATTTGCATGGTTAGATTGTATGTACAGGTCATCTTTAAAACAAACGTCAGATCTAAGTAGATGGGAAAATCAACAACCTTAAAGGTAGAAATTTGTGGTAATGATACTAGGTAGCCTACAGATGGCAGTAAGCTTCAGCTTATGTTGGATATATAGGGAAGGGGTCAAGGAGCACTGGTGGTGTAAAGATTAAGCAGTTGGCGGATAGGTTGGTGGTTTGAACCTACCCAATTATGACTTGGAAGAAAGCCTGTCAAACTGCTTCCAAAAAGTCGCAGCACTGAAAACCCTGTGGAGCGCAGTTCTGTTCGTGAGTCAGAACTGACTTGAAGCCAGGTGTGATTTGAGATGGGAATGGGGGTGGGGCCAGTTAGGGATGGGAACAGCTTAGCAAAAAGCAGGAAAGGGTCAAAATGGGCCTGAGGGAGGATTCCCCAGTCAGTTAAAACAACCCACGATAAAGAGGCATCTTAGCCCACAAAATGGGAAACCAGGGCTTTCTTTTTGACTTACGACCTTTGGAGAAGCACTTGGTCCTGGTCCTCAGTTTTCTTATAGGTAAAATGAGTCCAGTCCAGAATTCTCTGCACACAACTTGTAGGAAAGGAAGAATGGTGTATAGCAGTGAGCTGTGTGTTTTCCCAGGCCTAGGTGCCCTGGCCTTAGGAATACCCTTTCCCAGAGAGGCCCTCCCCGCAGTGCTTGTCTGTTAGCTTTGAAAGGCCAGAATGCTTGAGAACTGTCACCAAGGAACAGAACTCCATTACCTTTTGCTTGAGTGGAAATGAAGCTTGTCCCTTCTTCCTGAGGCTTTTGTACTTGGACATTCATGATTGACTAGCCTCATTACAAAAAGGTTTGAAGGCTGAAGGAGGCCCTTTAAATCAACGTTTAACAAGCCTCTACAATGGACTCACAATGGGCTGCTAGGGACATGAAAGAGGGTCTCCACTCATGCTTATTCAAGCAAGGGACGAGCATTAGGGAACCTGTACCTGAGAATGATGTTCTCCTGTACTTGATGCACACGGAGTGGCAGCATGCTTGGAGAACCTGTTGGAGTTGCTGGCTCATGGCAGGTTCTGAGAGTCCCCTCTCTGTTCGTATTTTTTACCCTAAGCAGTGAGACAGACTTAGCAGGCTTTTGAATCTGAATTGGTGAATGGAGTCACTTTAAAGAAGAGGAAAAAGAGGCAGGTGCATGGTGAATTTACTGGAAAAAATGTTATGGAGACCAGTGGGAGACTAGGAACAGACAGCAGGGCCAAGAGGTTAGGGCCTGAGACAGAATGAGTAGATGTGACAACGCAATGGAGGACTAGAACTTAACTGCTGAACATGGGAGAAAGGAGAAGACATTCCTCATTTGACTAGGAAAATGCCACCAGTAATAACTATTGTTTACTGAGTCCTTCAACTTCTCAGGACTGACTGAGGTAGGTGGGTAATCCAGGGAGAGAATGGGTTTAGGAAGGTTATGTAACTTTCCCCAAATCCTATGTGGATAGGAGAATCTAACCCAGGCTGGCATATCTGAGTCCCCACTCAGGGAGGGGGACTGCTCTGGCGGTTCAATGTCTCTATTGTACTAAACAATACCCCTTATCCTAAACCCACACACCAACTCAGCAAACAACTTGAGGCTCTAAATTCAGTTCATGACTTTCTCCTCCGTTTTGGGCACACCCCTTGAGTAGAGGGCTCATCTCCCATCCACTTCATAAAGGTGTTCAGTTCTACTATGTTTATTCTGCCAGACTGGAGGGGAGTTTTGCTTTCCAGTGATGGTTTAGTACCCCATGGAAACCTGCACTCCCAGACAACCGGAGCAACTGTTAATCCAGCTGGCATAATTGCTTCAATTTTGCTCCCCGTATCTACATTCCCAGTTAGGGTGACGTGACTGCCAGGTTCCTAACTGCTGTGGCTAGGAGGTTGGATTAGGTACCCTGGAAGCCCTCTTCCCAATCCAAGACCTTGTGATTCTGGGTTTTCTCTACCTGGTGGATTGCAGACCCTCAGGTCATGGATTATGTCTTGGACGTGGAGGAGCCTCCCTCTGAACTAAACTTCTTTATTGTTAAGTGCTGTCGAGTCGGTTCTGTCTCAATAGCAATCTTGTATAGGATTTCTGAGGAGCAGCTGGTGAGTTTGAACCACTGACCTTGTGGTTCAACCTTGAGTCCTGTGTTCCATCCCACAGTGAAATGTTTGTTGTTAAGTGCTGTTGAGTTGGTTCCAACTCAGTGATCCTGTATAGGGGTTCCGCGGAGTAGCTAGTGAGCTTGATCCGTTGACCTTGTGGTTCAAACCGACCTGGAGGTCAAGTGCTTATCCTATGGTGTAGGCCCCAGAAATCTCGCTGGTGAGCCAGTTCCTCTGTAGGCCTCTGCTTCCTCCCACCCACTTCATCAGTTCAAACAAAAGGTCCTAGAGGAAGTGAGTGACCCTGTGGCTGAGTCCTCGGCCAGGGACAACTGATATTCTGCATGAGCACAAGGAAAGTTGTCTGATTTGCACATGTATCTATTGGTAAAAGATGGTGGTTGGGGTCAGTGAGGATCCAAATGCCTTCAGTGGGGGTAACCGGCTGGGAACTGGAAAGGCCTGACTTTTCCACAGTGTGTCAGCAGCAGGAGTGTCGGTGGTTGCTGAACAAAGCCATTTTAAGGAAGAGATAGTGTAGATAGGGGATGAATCGACTAGAGAGAGAATCCTATAGAATATTCCTTTCCCTTGGGCACCATCTACATGTGGGTTAATGAGGAGACCCTGCCAGGCTGGCTGCTGAAATAGATCCGAAGGAGGAAACAGGCAGGAGATTAGCCAGTGGCATTACCTGGGTTGACATCTCCCAGCGTGGTAACTCATGTTGTTACCTCTCCACCTCATGGACCTCCTCCCGCACCAGACCATACAGAATCCTAAGTTGTGGGTTTTTTTAAAAAATGTTTTATTGTGAATTATGTGATAGTTTACATGGGAGAACATTAGTTTTACATTCATGGTTACAATCCCCTCCATGCATTATCAACCAACCAAAGGGTATACACTACAAGCCTGACCCCTGGTCATCAGCACACAGCCCCTCTCCCTCTCTGTGTCTAAAGTCCAGAACAGCTCCATCTCTCCACGTCATCGTCTCTGCCTCCATCTCAGGCATCATTACTTCTCTGGGTAGGGTCCCGCTCTCTGCTCTTCTCCATTGATGGTCCCAGGGACCTCTGCTCCTAGACTGAAAAGTTAATAACTCCCCTCCTTGCTACAAAACATCTACCTTTCTAAGTCGTGTTTTATGATC